ATTTATTAATTTTTAAAAATATTTTTTCATAATTTTTATTTTTATTTTTTAGATACATCTAAGTAAGGTGCATCTAAAAAAAATATTTAAAATTTTAAAAATATTAACTTGAAAAAAAAAAACACGAAAGTCACTTTTGGCGACGGCAGAAAATGCCGTCGCGAAAAAGCAGAGTATTTGCGACGACAGAAAATACTGTCTAAAAAAAGGAGAGTATTTGCGATGGGAGAAAATACCGTCGCAAATACTCTCCTTTTTTGAGACGGCAAATTGTGCCGTCGCAAATGCTTTGCTTTTTTCAGACGGCAAATGATGTCGTCGCAAATACTCTGCTTTTTTAGACGGCATTTTCTGTCGTCGCAAAAAGTGGCTTTTTGAGACAGCAAGTGTGTCGTCGCAAATAGTTCCGTCTTTTAAGCCCACTCTTCTTGTAGTGTTAGTTTGTTTACTTTGAAAGTGGTGGAAAATAGAAGAAAATTAATTTTCCTATACAACTCATATTAGCATTGAAATTAATTTTTAATTTCTTGCAAACAAATAGTAAAATTTGAATGTGTGAATTATCTATAATTAAATTTTAAAATTTTTCTATATTTTCCTTACAAAATTCTCATTTGAATCAAATTTTGCAAGAAAATATATTTTATTTTCTATTTATTTTCTTTCACTTTCAATTTCTACTAAATTTTCATTGTAGTCAAACGGAGCCCATTGGACTAGGGTAAGTCTCATGAAAGGTTTTTTATCCCAAGATTTTTCTTCTTTTTTTTTTTGTTTTTTGTTTTGAAACTGTTTTTATTGTCAAACGATTTTTCTCTCAATTTAAAGGGGAAGGAGCTTGACATGTACTGATGCATAAGTTTAACAATGTGGCAAAACTTTATCTTTTTTTAAAGTATCATAAGTTTCACATTACACATTTGTTTTTTTTATAAAATTTATATTTTTAGAATCTACGCGTTGAGATCTGTCACATAAGATCAACATTGAATTTAAAATTATGGAAAAATGAAAATAATTTGTTTGGCGAAACAATTGGAACATTGCTCTGCGAAACTCTTCGTTTTGTAAATTGAGAAATTTCTTAGTTTCATATAGCTAACAAAATTAATATTTTATTTGTGTAAAATTTTATATTTAATATTGATCTTTTTGATAGATTAAGTTGTGTAGATTTTAAAATATAATTTTTGTTAAAAATGAATGTGTATCTTGAAATACGCTTACTTCAATTAGGAAAAGTTATTTAGTACTCCTGGGGCATAGCCAAGTTGTGCCACAAGAAAATTGTGGTGGGTGGAAGGCATGTTAGGGCATGAAGGCATGAAGTTTGGTAATTGATTGATGATATTCTCACATAATACATTTGGAGCACCTAATAATTTTTCTTTTAACTAGGCACACATTTGCATGTGTGAGTATTTTTGGATTAAATAAATCAACATGACTTATTGAAATAAAATATCCTAGATCCAGTCTCAAACAATTTTATTAAATTGAACTTTTCACTAAATGTCTTTGTATGTTGTACCCCAAAAAAATTTAAAATTAATTAAAGTGGCGAATTATTTAAAAGTAACGGATGGCTGTTTGGCAAATGTATGGACACTACAAGAAAAATTCATTGTCACGGCGCTTAGAAAAAGATGTTTTTTGAAAAACGTCTTCATTTCTCGTTTTCCAAGACGCGTGCCTCCTCTGATGCTTAACCTTGCCAATTAATTAATGAGTTAAAAAAAGAAAAAGAAACAAACCTCTGCCACTCAAACCTAATAGAATATAACTTTTATTTCCAAACATCAGAGTCGCAGATTCATTACCCTCTCCCCTCTGTTTCTCCTTCTCCAACATTATTCTCTCTCTAAAATGGCACGAATGAAGCTCTCTTTGTAGATATTGACGAAGCAACTGGTGATGAAGATTTCAAGTGAGGCTATTGTAGATCAAAACCTTAGATCTTTTATCTCAATCGTTTTTCATTTTTTTTTTTATTTTGAAATCCTGTTTTGTGCACTCGATTTGACTAATTTTTTTCGAGATTACTCGATCTCTCTTCGATATTGTTCGATCTCCCTTGATTTGACCAATTTTCTTCAAGATTGTTCGATCTCCCTTGATTTTCATTTATCTAGGGTTTCGTTCTACACAGGGCTGAAAAAATGCAGTGGATCTTTTTGAAAGGGCCTTTCAATCTGTACTCGCTGTGTTCACTCGAGATTCAGAGATTTTCATGACTGAACAGTAGCAATCTAGATCTATTTTGATTTACATTCTATCAGTTTGATTTCATTCGATTGACTGAAACGGTTGCTTAGGATTTCGATTTCCATTGTTGATCTAGGTGCTCTTTTCTTTTATTGGTCTAACTCAAGCTTGTTTTGGATGATTTTGATTTCGATCTATGTTTTTGTTTTTCTTAAGTATCGGATCTATAGCTCTTTTATTTGTTTTAGTTCTCTCAGGTAGTCTGCTTCAATGGTTTTGATTTGTAACTGTATTTTATTTAAATAGTTTTATTGTTTGTTCTACAAATAGGTAGCTTAGAAGATTTATATATTTTCTCTCACTCTCTGTGTTTCCTCTTTAAGGTTTTCATTTGCTAAAAGATGATTGAGCCTTTTGGGATGAAATATGTTTTAAAGTTGATATTAAATAAATTAAGTTATCATTTTCACCAAATAAGGGCCAAATGGAGGGGTTTTGGCAAAATTTCCCTTATAATTATATGTTTGTGTATGTGTAAGCAAAATAAAAGTAAAGATGAACCTGTGTACAAATCTGAATGCTCATTTTTTAAATATGTCCAGCCTGAAAAGGCCTCTACTCTACTTGTTTAGGCCTATGGATAGAAAGGATATGCATGCTAGTGTTGTGCTCTCATTCGATGGACTCGTTGCATTTTTTAATTTTTTTTTTGTATATTGTTATGTATTTACATGTTTGATGTATATTAGTGGGATGCATCTAATGGCTTTTCATTAATTCTACTTACAGGGTGGTTCCCAAATCTCATCTAACTTCTTACCTTATTCCCAATCTTGGAAGTGAGGGAGAATGAAGTAGTATCCTACCAGAGAGATTTGAAGAGCCTCAGAAAGATGGAGGTCAATTAAAAGTCACTTGGAAGATTTAACATGTGCCGGTATTATTGCCAGGACCAAACTGAGAAAACAATATTAGGGATTTGTTATTTTGTGTTTCTTAACTTTCTTGTTACATATTTCCTGTCTGGATAAAGAATGCATGTAATCAAGATTTGGGAACTTCCTAAAAATGCTAGCTTTTTGACTTTTTAATTTTTTTACACAAAAAAACCAAAAAGTTAGTTTTTTACTAACTTCTCAAAGCACCACATAAATTTTTGCTTCATGGTACCATAACCACTGTTTTACGGATATCTGCAACTCTTCTACTACAAGGGACCATATCAATTCTTACAGATTTGTTTCACAGTACTAACTCTGCATCCAACTTCCAAGACAAACGCTATTATTTAGTTATTTATTTTACTTTCTTTTTAACAATCATTTACTGTCTTGTGTTAATATTCAAGATTTTTTGAATGAGTTATCTTGACAATTTACTCCATTGCATTTATGTTGAAAAACAATCAACTTACCATAACTTTCTTGCAACCTGGTTCAATATGTCACATTCTTTTACACTTCTAACAAATTGAAATAACTAAATATCATAATCTATATCAATGCTACTAACAAAAGATTCAATAAGAGAAAAGATATACTTTACGCTTAGACCTTTTTCATATATCTGTGAAAAATTTAATCCTTCAATCTAATTATATAAATGTTCTAATTTTAAACATTTATTGATTTAATTTTGAACTTCAACATTTTCTCACAATTAAACTTCCATTTTAAAATATATTAATACCAACATTAGTATTATTAATATGAAAAATGTGCAACACTTCATCATTTACAGACTTTGAAAGTGTCAAGATGGAATTGATCAAAAATACTTTTTGTTGTGTTTGGATCATGGATTGTGGAAGGGATTTGTGAAGGGAAAGGAAAAGTCAAGGGTTTCCTTTCTCAAATTTCTATCTGAATTCGTGATTCAAACATAGCCTATAATAATCTATTAAGTGTAATACAATGGAGTATTGAATATGATTTTTAAAATATAACTAATACAAGATTCCAATATTTAACTCTTTAATTATTCTAATGGAGAAGATGTGAAGGGGAAGACCTAAGCTGACATGGGATGCGGTAGTTAAAAAAGATATTAATTTATTTAATTTAACCGAGCATATAGCCCTTGGTAGAGTAGAATGGCAAAAAATGATTCATGTAGCTGACCTTACTTGATTGGGACACAAGGCTTAGTTTGATGTGATTTGCTATATGTAATCCATGTCTCTCTTTGTGTACAAACACACCCAGATACATATACACGTGCCTATTGGGGTTCTTCATAAATTAGAACTCATTTTACTAGATTGTGTAGCTATTGAAACAATTCTATTCTATTTTTTACAGATGAAATGGATGTGGAAAAAAAAATTGTTTAGAGAATAAGAAGGGGACAATTCAGCTTTTAGTTCATGTTAATTTCGTTACGAGAAAATATTTAAAGTTTGAGGTTATTTTCCTTGCATTGTAAGTTCATTGATTTTAGAGCGTTCTTTAATGCGAAGAATGCTTAATTTAGGTGTCACATGATCTTTAGTTCCATTTGGAGTGCATCATACTTACCCGTCCCACTATTCTAAATCCAATCATAGCTTAGTTTTAGTTTCTTTGTTCCCTAACCTTGCCCGTTGGAAAACTAGTCATCAACTACATTGAGCAGAACCACAAGGTGAGTAGTAAGTAACATTTTAAGCTTCAATTTTACTGTAGAATTACAGATTGGATGGTTATGAACCCTAGTTGTTACTCTTTTTATAGCTGAATTGGATTAGTTCTCTATTATGGTATTGAGACTTCATTCTTATAGGACAAAATGAAGATCTTTATGGCAAAGTATTACTATGTGAGATTGCATGCTTTATTCGATGCGGCTTTGGCAGCTGGACTGGTAGCAGCCAGAACCATCGCTGGAAAATATGTTGACATGACGGTTTTTCTCTGATTTTCCACTCCATAGATTTCAAAATCTGCCTGGTGAGCATACATTTTTGAATTCTTGCTATTATGAGTATTCTATGAAAGCAATTTTGGCTATACATCAAACACACATGTGCACGATTGACAGTACACTAAAAGTGAATTTTTCAGCAGTGTGCATACCACCTTAGCTAGGTTGTTACTTTTTTAGTGTTAATAACTAACAATTAATCATGGTGCTTAAAATTAATAAAAAGAGAGAGGACATAGTGATCATTCAAGCACACATTGGTCCTACTGCATTGCATTTAATATCAAAGGCTTATTCAAGAACGTAATTAAAGTTTTCATTCTGTTTTTAAAATAAATAGAGAAGATTAGCTAGTGCAAGCTCCACTGTCACAACACCCAGGTATAACCTCAGTGTTAATGATGTTATGGTATGTGATACTACTTTATCTATGGACTTTTAATATGACTTATATTTATATTGGAGGCTAATTATTGAATTCAAACTTGCAGACTCAAATGAAAGAGTTAACGGAGCACATGGAGGGATCTTCTATTTATACTTTGCTACTAAAGAATTTGTTTTGCTCACTCTACTTTTATCATGGATCATGCAGATGAAGTGAATCAATCCATCATCATAAGGTTAGTTGAGCTGTGTTATGGATTTTTTGAACTGTTTTATGGGAAACTCTGGATTTTAAACTATTAACTCAAGGGGTTTTAAGTTTATCTGGCACCATGATTGAGAGTATTTAAAAATGTAAAATAAAAGTTGTATGGCACCACTAGGGTGATAGGGCCATAAATCCATGGGAAGAATGGAGCTGGGAATATTTATATTCCTTGAGTTTGTTTAGGTTGGAGATATTCTTGTCATTGTTGAAATTGACAATAAAGTGTCAATATTTTGGGAGGGAGATGGGTACTAATGTTTAGCTTGCTTAATTTTGCAAAAGCCTATGTTTGTTTCAATGTGGCACTTTTATGGAAGAGCTTTGCCAATAAGTAACTGGATTTGAAGTCTAGAGAATAATTTTAGGTGTTTGAGAAGTTCATTGAATAAACCTACGAGGTAATCCCCAAGTCTAATTTGAGATATTTTTCTAGGTGAATAGAGCATAAGTTTGGAGGTTGTTCCAGCAAAGAACTAGTTCTTTGAAACTTGAGTATGTCCTGATTCGGAGGTTGGGCAGATATGTAAAGGAGTATAGCAATCGTGTGCATGAACATAGAGCATAAGTATGCTAGTAGAGTTGGTTTACAATTGTTACATTCTTTATTCTGCTACACCTGGGGAGCTTGTTAATTCACAATAAATAGTTCTTTATATGTAGACAATAGTTTGAAAATTGAAACAAAACAGTGTCACTGAGGATAAAAATTCTCTTGACAATGGCTTCTTTATATTCAAATTAAAAATGAAGCAGATATGGGGAAAATCCTTGAAATTGGGTCATTTTATTTTGGAAGTAGACTAATTTTAGTGAGAAGATGGCAGTTGTACATGTAGTTGACTAAGAGTGAATTCTCTTTTGTGCACATTCCGATGAAATAATGAAATTTCTTACTGTTTTTTCAATTGTGATGTCTAATATGTTATAGTAAGGCCTTAAATTTGAAGGAGTGGGTATTATAAGATTATGGGTGTTGACCTGTAGGTAATATATCCTTACATATTTGCCACACTAGCATGAGCTTTGCTTTGACAAATATGACAATGATTTGACTCGGAAATTGTTTGAATTTTATTTTGTGTCAACATTAATTAGAGAATTGTGTCAAGATGCGAAGCTACTGCCTTGCAATGTCAATTTCAAGCTATGAAGTTACTGCCTTCCAATGCTAATGATTTCATTGTTATTAATCATTGATTATGTCTATCAAGAAAAAAACTTTAACCATGAGAATCTCTTGGTTGAGAATTTTTATTTTTAAAATTTTTCTTTGTGCTATTATATTGCACTGCTCAAATGCTTTAATCTTGTGATGATTTGATTATGAATCAGGAAATATATGATGCCCATTGACTCCATACCTTTCCATGAAATCATCTGCTTTAAGAACGTCGACAAACTTCAAGCAGTAAGTATTTTTGTAATACTGAAACTAAGAAATAGAAATCAAATGGAAAATGTTCACTGACTACTTATTGTTGTTAAGATAGTGCAAAATTTTGGTAACTACACAAGTCATTTAAATATCTTGATTTTTTTTTTTTTTTTTGAAAATTTTATCTTAAGAACTATTGATGATCTGTTACTAAACCTAAAATTGATTGGACTTCACAATTTGGTAGGGTTGCTGATTTCGTGGTGGCAAATTCCGATCCTTTCATACCTATGTAAGGAAGTTGTCAACAACCCTCTTAATGTCAAAACAGAACTCATAGAGTAATGATGTCTTCTAGTGACAAACTTGATATGATTTGCAAATTGATTTTGTTTTTCTTTCTTTCTTTCTTGTAAATAATGCAATATAGATGGTACTTGCTATTTATAGATGGTGCTTGCTATTTTATTAATCTTTAATAAAATCTTTGCTTTGTAATCTTTTCTTTAGGTGGCCATTTAAGTTGTGAGAACTGCTGAGCAGAACAAAACAAATCTGAATTCTGAATCTTATGTATGATGTTGCATTGCTTATTGAAACTCTAGGAAAATAAAATTCATGGAAGCAAACTGAACTAGTTGGCTTTGTCTAATTACTCTTACCTCAACTTGAATTTTTATTCCTGAAACTAGAGAAGCTCAACTTTTAATTCTTAGTTTTAAATTTTTATCTTTGGGATATCACATCTTGCACCTGCAATGGGCTTATCTGTTCGTTAATCTTCAATTGCTCATGAAATTTCTGAACTTATTAAGAGACCTAAGCTTGAGGCAAGTATTTGTTATGACCCAGAAGATTTTTGGCTGGATTTAGAAAGGTTTTACACTTGAGCATCTTGGTTATCTGGTAAGTAGTAGATTGTGTTGATTTCACCTTTCACATATAATTCTGATGTAACTTTTATTCCTTGCAGCATTCCATTTTCTGAATTTGATCTAGGCAAGGCCTCTAAATCATTGAAAAGAGTTTCAGCAGCGGTTTTGGCAGCTCATGACTGAATTGAAGAGTGCACATCAGATTTCATTTTATTTTTCCAATGAAATTTTAGACATTTCTTTGATTGCATCAACAGAAAAACCTGGGAATTTTTGTTTCTTGGTAGATGCTTTCATAGTATTTGTATGTATAATTAGTTTGAATTGCATCTTTTGTGCCGATTTGTTTTGTAATAACTTTCAACTTACAACTAGGCACTAGTTTAACTTTATTTCATCTTGGAATTGAAATATTTTAGCATATTGAAAAGCATGAATTGATCCGGTATTGTGTTACCTAAATTTAGTCAATATATTGAATATTTTTCATCTTTATTATAGTTTTTTTTTCATTTTGTCCTATAAGAATGAAGTTAAATCTCACAAAATTAGCACAATTTAAAAAAAAAATGAAGCTATAGTGGCATTTTTAAATGCCAGCAGTTATATTTTTAAAATAAAAAAGATCTATCACAACGTTTTTAAAACATCGCTAAATGTAGTGTTATCATTATGTAGCACATTTAGCGGCGTTTTTTAAAATGCGCCTATACTAATATGGCGATGCTTTTAAAGCGTCACAAAGTTACAGCGACGGCCGCATCTTCGATGTTTCGTACAAAACGTCACAAAAACAACTAGCGGCATTTTTGATAGATTTAATGGCGTTTTTTAAACGCCACTAAAAGCCTAATTTTCAGCAGTGGAATTTTTTTATAAAATAATATTAACTATACCAATTACAATTGCCTCTAGAAAAATAATTTTTTTTAAGCTGAAATTAATCAAATTTTACATTCAATTTTGGTTAGAAAAAATTTGAATAAATTAATAATATTCCCCATAGCCAATATCCAAAGTCTATGTCATTAATTATGATTTACATATATCATAATAACTAAGGTAAACTACACTTTACCTCTATTAAAAGTTTGGCCACTTTCCTACTTCAATCTTTTCAATTTTTTTTTTTGTTTTGTTTTTGTTTTTTTTGTATTTTATTATTACTGTAGTCCTTAATGTTACTTGGACTTTCCAATTTACTCCAAACCCGAACTTCTGTCCAAATATAAACAGAAAATGCTATGTGGCAGCTACGTGGCATAAGAAAACATTATTTATAATACAATTACTCAAAAATCCAAACCTAACATCCAAATCTAAATCCAAAACCTAAAAGCAAACCCAAACCCAAACCCAAAACACACAAATCAAAACCCAAAAACCAAAATCAAAATTCAATATCTAATCTCTCTCCCTCTCTCTATGTCCCTTACACCAGCATCTATTTGTGACGGTCCAAAATTCGGAAACATTAAAGAATATATTAACAAGTAAATACAGAGTTGTTTCTAAGGTTACAAGTGTGAGAAATGTCACTAGTGGGTCATTTGGTCAATAACCAAGTAAGATCCCAAGAAAGATCGGATGAGTCAAAATAACCTCCTTTTAAAGTCTAATCTCCTTTGATAGCAAAAGGTACCTTTTTGGCAGATCTTAACAAAGTATTAACACAAGGTCTACATAAATTGATGGAAAATACATGGAATATATTACAAAGGATAATTATAGATATATAAGCAAAATAACAATTACAAGATCACATCTCAATTATGAAACGAGTTTTAACACTTCCAATCGTAAAACATGATTACTAATTCTTAATTCTTCTAGGATAGCCTTACGTCTTCAAATGTTTCTATTTCATTGTCGTCCGCATAAATTTCATCAACACCTGGTATGAAACGCCATGAGTATGGAATGTCCAGTAAACGCATACACACCCCGTCTCTTTTTCCCAATCCAATACACAATCACAATTATAACAAACAAATATGCAACATGATATTCAAGTCAATAACAAAGGATAACAAGATTAGATGTTAATAATCTAGAAATCTCCCAAAGATATTTCATCCTCCCAACCGCAAGAATTGGGTTCGTATTTTTCGGTATGCCCCCCTCTTTTGCTGCTTTGCAGACCTTACCCCAGACGCTTACAACGGTTACATACTTCGTAGCACCAATTGAGGGTCTCAAAAGAGATGATAAAAATATATGATCTCCTTCAACCTTATCCTTCATAATTACTTAGGCCCCGAATATAACCGATCCATTCAAGAGTTCTTGAACAATCACTTGAGCAAAAATTAATCGTTAGCTAGAGACCACGTCCTATCAATCCATTATCATCTCATCATTATTCAAGTGATTGAAAACCCAATACACTACAGGAAATTGCATTTTCCCCAGCCAATTTTTCCAAGTAACTTTTATTTAGTTGCAAAAAGTTTTCATTTGGCGACTAAATATAAATTTGGTAGTCAAATGTTTGAAGTTTTGATGAATAATATTTCTTAGTTGCCAAAATATAATTTTCTGTGACTAAAATAAAAAAAAAATACTTGGCAAAAGTTGAAGAGGGAAGACGAAAAACAAAGCGGGAATCGAAAAATTTTTAGCAACTAAATTAATTTGGTCACAATTAATAAAACTATGTGGTTTTGATTGTTATTTAACTAAATTGAAGGTTTGCCGACTAAAGAGTCTTATAGGGGAAAATATTTTCATATCAATAGAGTGAATAGTTCAAACCCTTATCTCCTTACTCCTGTTCACCACTCGTCATATGTGCCCCACCGTCGTTTCTCCTGCTTGACTGCAGTCACCAAAGTTGCTTCTCCTCCATAATCACAGTCGCCAGCGTCGCTTCTCTGATCAAGCGTCAGCAGTGTTTCAAGAAGTCAAACGGCCTCCATTGTTATGTATGTAGTTCTCTCTCTCTCTCTCTCTCTCTCTCTCTCTCTCTCTCTCTCTCTCTCTCTCAATCTTTGTATTTGTTTTCCATTACTCTTCTTTCTCACATGATTGCTCGCTATTTTCGAACCTAGCAACACCACCATTACCATTTTTTGGGCACTAGTAGTTCGCATATCTTTAAACAACGACGATATCAGGTATGGGTCCTCTCTCTCTCTCTCTCTCTCTATATATATATATTTTCCTCTGTTTTCCCTAATTTTCAAAACCCTAATGAGTGGATGTTTGAAGGATGGCCTCAAATCTTACTCTTCAGACAATACAAAAAATGAAAAATGATATATATTCGTGTTTGTTCTGGTTGGATTATATATATATGCAAAAAATGACTAAATTAATTAATTGTTCTGTTCGGTTATATGTGTTAAATTTGGATCGGGAATGCTAGAATTGATCACCTAAGTTTGTTCATGCTCATGCTCTATTTTTTTTCCCATTCTATTGCTTCAGAATCATGCAATTGATGAATGGTAAGTGTTTTGTATATGTTTGTGATGTCATTGAACAGAAATAATGATGAGATTGAATATATGTCAGCAATATGCGTGTTTTATCCACAAAACCTAGGATGTCTAAGAAATTCTTTGCATTGAAATAGATTGAATTAATTTTTCTTAGGTTTTGTATCTAAAGAAAAATGTTTTGCTATGTTTTGTATATGAATTCTAGTTTAAATTGAATATAAATACTAGGTTTTGTTCGTGGTTAGAAAATTATTTGTTAAAGAACTTTATGCCCTGTTAGATAGAGCATCTCCAATCCTAATGCATGATTTAAAATATTGACAATATGAGAACTCTAATATTCTTTGTCACTTTATTGTTCATTAAAGAAAATAAAACAAATGGGAGAAAATAAATTGGGCTCAATTGATTTGAATGCAATTCTATTTCTAAACTTATCACATTCTATTAAAATTTTATGATATATAATACTAGCTATTACTGTCTATGATAGAGGCTTTTAGAGCTCTAAAATTATATAAAAAATTTACATGACTCACGAGATTTTTAAACAAATTTATACCAAAAACTCAAACCTTACAGTACATCTAAATTCATATAACTTATCAATGTGTGTGTGTGTGTGTGTGTGTGTGAGAGAGAGAGAGAGAGAGAGAGAGAGAGAGATCTATTTTATTTTTATAACAATCAATGAGGAGGAGACTTCGATGGTATTTATCCCTCCCCAACCCCCTCCCCATAAAAAAAAAATGGACCTTATGAGGGGAGACATATACACCATATGGTAAAAAACTTATTGGTTGAGCTAACTTTAAAGGAGCACCGAAAACTCATCCTAAAAGGAGGTGCGCTTTTTGAAATTATTTTGAGCTAAAAAAGTAGAGGTGTAAATGTGAATAGCTATACCAAATACTAACAAATTGGGCCAAAATTTAAAGGTGAGTGCAGGTAAATTTTCTCACAATCTATCGTTG